GCCTCCAGGTCCAGGCGGGGTCCCCCTCAATCCACCCCTGGCCAGCGGGGCAACCCTGCCCCCAAGCCCCACTCCCAAGAGCGACCACCCGCCCAACCAGTCCTCTCTCTCTCCTCCTGCCTGATTTAAATGGCTTCAGCTGATTGGCGGGGACCACGTGGCCCACCGATCGGCTGGAGGACCCTTTAAATCTAGCGGAGGAGATGGAGAGGGGTGGTCGCGGGCCACACGCTCGGCTTTTTGTGAGCGGGGTGGGGGCCGTGGCATGCAGGGCCGATTTTTGTGAGTTGAGCAAGTGGCCCATGGCTGCCCCTCTCCCTCCCCTCCTGCTAGATTTAAAGGGCCCTCTAGCTGGTTGATGGGCCACGGGCTCCCCACTGATCAGCTGTGACACAAAATTTAAACCGGGCAGGAGGGGAGGGAGAGAGGCGGCCAGGCAGGTGGCCACTCTTGGAGGCGGGGCTTGGGGGCATCCCCACCCACCCCTGGGACACCCCCCCATCCCCCCGCTGGAGCAACGAGGGGACCTGCCAACCCTAGAATCATTCCAGGGATTCTTACATGGGAAATTACAGTGTGGGAAGGGGAGGAGGTGTTGAGGCACTGTGTGGTTCCAAAAACCATCTCTGTTTCCTTTCGACTCATCCATCACGCTGAAGTGATCACGCTGAGGTGCTTCCCTGTAATGCAGATGTCATAAAAGAGAGACACGAGTATAAAGAGGAGGTTAGCAGCCCTTGACAACGTAATTGCCGTTTCAGCCATCTGAAATGAAGGATGGAGTACTAGACATGATACGGTAAGCAGAACAGGAAATGGTGTTATTTGAGTATCAAAACAATGCTGGGAGAGCACAAAAATACAAAGAGCAAACAGATAAATGGGTTCTGTACACACTGGTGTAGGCCGCACTCCCTCTCCCTTTATTAAACCGCCTCCTTGGACCTTTCCTTTGTCACGTGGCCCTCTTTTTTTGTTCTTGTTTTTTGCCATCAAGTCGCAGCCGACTTCTAAGGCAAGAGATATTCAGAGGTGATCTGCTGTTTCCTGCCTCTGCCTCACTATCCTGGTACTCTTGGTGCTTTCCCATCTGAATACGGATCAGGACCGACCCTGATGATCTTCCAAGATCTGACGAGATCGGGCTAGACGGGTTTTATCCAGATTTAGGGCCTTTATTAAAATGCCTTCCTGAACAATTACGTTTGAAGTAGTTTATGGGATGGTGTAATTGCGGAGTCCTTCCTCACTTCCTCCGGCAGGTCATACCACAAGGCCGGGGACCATATGTTGGGGTTAACTGGTGTGGTTAGTTCAGTTCCCACTAGAGCCAGTTTGGTGTAGTGGTTAAGTGCGCGGACTCTAATCTGGGAGAATTGGGTTTGAATCCCCACTCCTCCACTTGCACCTGCTGGATGACCTTGGGCAAGCCAAAGTTCTAGCACAGCTGTTCTTGAAAAAGAGCCATTTCTGTCAGAGCTCTCTCAGCCCCACCCACCTCACAGGGTGTCTGTTGTGGGGAGGGGAAGGGAAAGGAGATTGTGAGCCACTCTGAGACACCTTTGGGTAGTGAAGGGCGGGGTATAAATCCAATCGCCTCCTTCTCCTCTTCTTCGTAGAGAGCTTAAATAAAGCTACAAGCACAGCAGTGTCACTTTATCAGGTTACCCAGCTTACAGAGCTACACAGAGTCACGTTGCAAGTTGAACAGAGAAATACTTCTCTCTTTATTTGAGAAGTACACTTTTGGATAGGAAAGAGTAGGGGCATGTCAGAGTACTAACTTACTAACTAATGATGGAAACAGATGGCGAGAGGGCCATCTGCCTCATGGTTCCAAGAGAGGACTGCACGTAGTCCCCCTTGGTGTATAGGGAGAGAGTTTGTCATTATCTGAGAGAGTGAATGGAAGGAAGGAAACTGTCCCTGAGAAGACAGTGTACATTTCAAAGGGGACAGTGACAGAAGAGTAAACCCAGGAAGGAAAGGCCAGTGTGCCTGTCTAGCTATCTAGTCTCTCTTGCCACTTGCTTCTGGAGGTCTGAGACAGGGGACAGCCTTCAGTCCCAACACCATAACAGAGAATGCACCTGTATGGATGGTTGTTCATTCTTGCCCATTTGCAGGGTGTCATCGGCAGGAAACCCTGCTCAGATGAGTGAAGCTGTCATGGTGGAGCACAAGAGAAGAGGTAGTCCTGCAAGGTCCAAGGCCAGTGTCTTGGATTGAACCTGGTAACTGACGGGCAGCCAATGGAGTGACTTCAGAATGGGAGTAATATGCCTGTTCTGCCTAGATCCCAATGATAATTGAGCAGCAGCATTCTGTACCAACTGGAGTCTCCAAGTTGTCTTCAAGGGTAGACCCACGCAGAGTGCATCACAATAGTCTATCCTAGATATTACCGTTGCATGGATCCAGGTGGCCAGGTCAGCTGAGTCAAGGTAGGGGTCAATCTTCCAGGCTGAAAGTGTTTTTGGAGGCTGCCTTTGCTTCTCCAGCAATCATGCGGGGTCCCGTATAACTCCTGGGCTCTTAGTTGCATCAGCTGCACCCCATCAAAAGTGGGAAGTACCAGCTCCTTTAAGGCCTCAGCCTTCCCATCCAGCATGACGTCCATCTTGTCAGGGTTCAGTTTCAATTTGTTTACTCTCGGCTATGCAACCAGAGCAGTGAAGGGGGGCTGCAGACCTCTACTACATTGCCAAGAGATTTGGAGAGAGAGAGAGACGGAGTTGGATGCCATCAGGTTACTGATGACGCTCAGTTCCAAACGTATGATTGATTTCTCCTAAGGGTTTTGCATAGGAATTGAATAGCTACGGGGGATAGGACTGCATCCTGCAGAACCCCGTATAACGAAATCAATGCTGGTGGCAACAACTGGTCTCCATTTTGAGTATAGTCTGTAAAGAATGGTTGAAACCAGTCCAAAGCATATCCTCTACTTCTGCTTCTAAACATCACAACAGAATGGTAGGATCGGCTGCAGAGGCATCAAACTCATTCGTTACAAGGGCCAGATCTGACACAAAATTTACTTGTTGGGCTGGGCCATGTTTGCCTTAAAATGAAATGCCAAGTACCGGAGATGTAAGCTTTATAAACGACACAGGCAAACCCATTTAACAATATTATTTTTATCCAGAATACAGACAAAAGCAATTGATTCCTAGGAGTTAAAGCAATTGATTTATTGGGGAATCCACAAAAGTCCCAATAACTGTATTTAATCTTATGCAAGACTAGGTTTTTTCCCAAGGGATACCATACCCGCCCCCTAGCCATTTCCTTTCATTTCTTGACAGCTTTGACCGCACACACCTCACTGTGTGTGCCTGCTCACTCCCCCCCCCCCCAGCAGCCTCCTGCCTGACCTCTATTTCACCAGTTGCTCGCGGGCTGGATAAGAACCCTGGACGGGCCGGTTCCAGCCCCTGGGCCGCATGTTTGACACCCCTAGTCTGCTGCGTCAAATACATTAAAATGCCTTTCATAAGTATACTTCCAGTGCCATACTGAAAACAGCTGCAGAAGGAAATCATGCCATTTTATGACTTTTCCCCTTCCTAGAAACATTCTACGGGTCTTTTTTTTTTCCTAGTTAGCATAATACTGCCAAACCATAGTGAGACTCATTGCAGGAAAATAATGTATTAAAAGGTAAGCCTAAAATGAAAGTCCATTCCCTAACTCACAGTGTACTCAGGTGTCATTTCATAGAAAAAGAGGTGCAGGAGCTCATTAGCATAACTCATTAGCTTAACTTATTTGCATATGCCAAATCCCCTGATATCATCGGAAGTGTGTCAGAAGGCAGCACCCACCGCTCAGGCTCCACTGGACTGTTTTGGATTGCTAGCTACCGGGGGGGGGGGGGGGAACCAATTGCCCCCCCACGTCACAGAGGAGGGAGAGCTTGTACCTGAATAAACCTTGGCCTTAAAGGTGCCACTGGACTGTTTTGGACTGCTAGCTGGGGGGAGGGAATGCACAGACCTGTGCAGGCAGGCAGGCAGGAAGGAAGGAGAGAAAGAGAAGGAGGAGGGGAAGAGGGAAAGAAAGAGGGGGAGAAGGAAATAAGGAGGGAAAGGGAGAGAAGGAAAGAAGGAGAGCTGCTTCTTGCTTCTTGTGGCCCAGGTCTGCGGGGAGCAGGGGTGGGGCTTGTTGCATGTGCCCACCCCCTGGGCTCTTTACTGACGGAGCTCCACTCCTGTGCGCTCCTGCAGGAAATGACCCCTGAGTGTACTTAATCCTGACTATCAGAATCCTGTCCAGGTTCAAAAGTTGTTAGTCAGTTCGTAATATGCACAGACTAGGACCTGGGTGGCCCAGGCGAGTTTGATCTCGTTAGATCTCGGAAGCTAAACAGGGTCGGCCCTGGTTAGTACTTGGATGGGAGACCTCCAAAGGAAGTCCAGGGTTGCTACCCAGAGGCAGGCAAGGGCAAAACCTCCCCTGAACATCTCTTGCCTTGAAAACCCCACGGGGTCGCCCTAAATTGCAATTTGACAGCATTTTCTGCTACCAAAGAACGTTTTCGACAATTTGGAAAGGTGAAATTACAAGATCTAATGAGATTTTTTTAAAAAAAATAGGTGAAGATCACAGATCAGCTGTGCATCTGGGCAAACATTCTCAGCAGAGAGGCGGAAAACATAAGTGGAGGAAGCATTAGCACGTCGCCGTGATTAAAGTTTGGAGAGTCTTTCTGGGGCAAAACACCTGTAAAAACTTCAAGGGAAATTATCCTGATCTATGGAGAAAGAGCGAAGTGGTGGTGCCAATTTAGCGAGATTCAAGCTGGCAATGGAAAGCCATCAGGCAGGTGGCAGTAAGAAAATTTCAATTGGCAGGTGGCGGTAAGAAAATTTCAATTGGCAAGAATGTCTCAGGAAGTCCAAAATAGTCTCAACTGGCTTTGCCGATATGTTCTTGAGAAAGGGTCTCTTGGTCTTTGGTTACAGATAAGACTTACTCTCTCCATTTTCCCCCAACAGGTGCCACCCATACTTCTGGATAAACAGTTCTCGGAATTTACGCCAGACATCACACCCATTATCCTTGCTGCGCACACCAACAATTATGAGATCATCAAACTTTTAGTCCAGAAAGGCGTTTCGGTGCCCAGGCCACACGAAGTCCGCTGTAACTGCGTGGAGTGTGTCTCCAGCTCGGACGTGGACAGCCTGCGCCATTCCCGATCCAGGCTGAATATCTACCGGGCGCTCGCCAGCCCTTCTTTGGTCGCCCTGTCCAGCGAGGATCCTTTTCTCACGGCTTTCCAACTCAGTTGGGAACTCCAGGAACTAAGCAAAGTGGAGAATGAGTTTAAATCGGAATACGAGGAACTGTCGCAGCAATGCAAGCAGTTTGCAAAGGACCTTTTGGATCAGACACGGAGTTCCAGGGAACTGGAGATTATCCTTAACTACCGGGATGATAACAGTCTAATAGAAGAGCAGAGCGGGAACGATCTGGCGAGACTGAAACTGGCAATTAAGTACCGTCAGAAAGAGGTAAGGGCGCTGGAGACTGAGAATTGTTGCAGCCGATTTAGTCGCAATAACATGTGAGACAAATTGAGGTGGGGGCAGCCGTGTTGGTCTGAAGCGACGGAACAGAGTTTGAGTCCAGACTGGGCCCCTTGAAGACCAACAAAGTTGTATTCCAGGTGTGAGCGTTCATGTGCGTGCACACTTCGTCAGACAATGACATGGAATTACAATTGGGGGGGGGGATAACATAGGCAAATTAGGGCACATCAGTCTCCAGTTCTAACATATTTATTACCCATGTTACCCAGTTGAACTGAAACAGATGATGACCAGGAACTAAGCTTATCATTCTTTTGATCTGTTAACAAAATGCTAATTTAACAAACCATTCCTATATATACAACTATGATATGTAATTCCATTTCATCGTCCGAGGAAGTGTGCGTGGGCACGAAAGCTCACACCTTGAATGAAACTTTGTTGGTCTTAAAGGTGCCCCCCCCCCCCCGGACTCTACATTTGTTCTATGTGAGAGAAATGTGAGACACACTGTTCTCAAAGTCTCTGTGCTTTTGTTTGTTTTTAACTGAGCGAACAGCACAGTAGATTTTTAGGGCTGAGTGAGACCAGAACCTCAAATATTGCAGCACCTCCTAGATCCATTGGTACTTTTGGCTGTTTATTCTTCTTTCACTTGAAAGAGCTGTTTCCAGTGGATTTGTCTGACATCCAGGTTATTGGGATTCCCCCCCCCCCCAAAGACAAGGACATTTTCTGGTTCATTACCCACTTAAAATTCAACCGCTAGCTGCAGTGTGAGTTACTTCAGATGGTTGATTCATCTCAGTGTGTGGGTGCCCGCCTAAGAATACACCGATAACAATTGAGCTGGTAACAACCAATGTTCCCTCTAAGCTGTGGAGTCTTGTGAGCAAAAATTCTGCTTTGTGAGTTACTGACATTAAAGTTGTGAGTGAACAATTTGGCTACTGCATAAATTAGTTTGCTCTGGAGCCATCCTTCCTGAGCTAAGACAAAAATCTGTGAGCTGGAGGCTAAAAAACTGTGAGCTAGCTCACACTAACTCAGCTTAGAGGGAACACTGGTAACAACCCAGAAATGTGTCACTTGACATTGCTTTGGAGAAATCCCCCAAACAGGGGGACAAGTTAGAAGGGGTTCCATCCTGTATTGCTCTTGGGACAGCCGCTGTGGTCCAGTGATTCTGCAAGGACAGAAATGGCTTTGGAAGCCGCAAGCCTGCTTTGTGGAATGAGCCAAAAGACCGACGCTCGGGCATAACATTTGTCTCCAAGGCTGCAATCCGATGTCCATTTCCGAGGAAGTAAAATCCTGCCGCAATCAGCGGGGCAGCTTTCTGAATAAACACGTTCTCCATAATGGGCAGTGTCTGGGCAAACACACAGAATCATGTTCTATTTGATTCGGTAAAGTTAGCTTTAGCACAGATTAAATTTTGGCAGATTGTTTGTTTACTTCTGTGATTCAGTCAGCCGCAAGTCGGAGCACCGCGAGGTAGCTTCGGTCAAATGAAAATACATATTGAAATCCAGATTTTAAAAGAAGAGAACACGTCACACTTGTTTATTTTTTAAAATTAGTAAGCACTGGAGGCATAATCCATGCTTTTCCACATTAAAAATGCTAATAAGAGTCCAGGAAGCCAGGTTTTGCTGAGTGAAACCAAGACGGGGAGGGCGTGGAGGGCTTGATCCCCTTCCCTGATCCTTTACGCAGTATCCCCGATCCTCCATGTTTCCCAGTTAAGGAGAAAATGCTGTTCAAACAAATTACAAAGATGGACTGACTCCGATGGTAACAAGTGAAAGAAATTTTACTTACAAAAATAGAAGCACATCTTAACATGACATATTCATGTAGGTACATTTAATTTATTGTGAACAATTAACTTCAAAAAGGACCCCCTGACCTGGATAGCCCAGGCAAGCCCCATCTCGTCAGATCTCGGAAGCTAAGCGAGGCCGAACCTGGCAAGTACCTGGATGGGAGACCTCCGTGGAATACCAGAGGCGGGAGGCGGGGGCAGGTTTCATTCAGCCACCTCTCTGAATATCCTCCAGGCCCCCAGTAGGGGTCAGGCACCAGAGGTTGCCGTGACTTACATGCGCGCACACACACACACAAATACAAAAATACCCCCCCCCCAAAAAAAGGTTAATTTGCTACATCTCCAAACCCAGATAAGAGATAGAGAGGTCCTATATAAGATAAAACAGACAGCAAGGAACAGCCAAAGAGGCTAACGTTGTTTACTTTCTATAGATTAACGGGGGCGCATAGTCTCCATCACATCAGTTCTGGCTCCAAGTAAGACTGGGATTTGGGGCTTCCCCGATCTGAAGGAAAAAAATGGACCCTTCTCTATGAACTCTGGCCATCAAACGCGGTCTTCACTGTTGTACTAAATTCTTTGCGGCAGGGATTCTAAGGATTACGTTGGCCCTTTCAGCAGCAAATGTGCAGTGTCTGTAACAAGCTGAGAGAGGGTATGTGCACATGGAAGCTCATAGAGGGAGAAGGACAGCTAGGCGCAGGAGGAACGTTCCCCCCCAGCCCCCCCCCCCAATTTGGCCAGCCTGTTTCCACCTGTCGACCAGTTGCACATCGGTAGGTGGCAGCCATAATTGCCAGGAGCTTGCCCACAGTTAGCGGGCACCAGGCAACCGTAGGCAGCAGAGAATGTAAGCTAAAACAGAAGCTAAAACAGAAGCCACGAATGCGGGGGGGGGGGGTCACCCTTTTCCTGCCTGCTAAAAATCCCCCTGCCACGGGGTTGCCAACCTCCAGGGTGGGGCGTGGTTCTCCCAGAATTCCAAGTAGACCTGCTTAAGATTATTCTCCCTTGAACTAGTAACACACTTTCAGCCAAACCCACCTCACAGGGTTATCGTGAGAATGGAATGGAAGAGGAGGAGGGAAGAATATTGTAGAGCCACTTTGAATCTCCTTTGGGGAGGAAAGCAGGCAATGAATGAATGAATGAATACCAAGGGCCCTGTGAGGAAAGGCTGAGAGACTTGGGAATGTCCAGTCTGGAGAAGAGGAGGTTGAGGGGGGGGCATGATTGCTCTCTTGAAGTATCTGAGGGGCTGTCACTTAGAGGAGGGCAGGGAGCTGTTCCTGCTGGCAGCAGAGGATAGGACTCACAAAAATGGGTTTAAATTAAGGGCGGGAAGGATCTTAGGGAAAACTTTTTTACAATAAGGATTGTCTGACAGTGGAATCAGTTGCCTGGGGAGGTGGTGAGCTCCCCCTCACTGGCAGTCTTTAAGCAGCGGCTGGAGAAACCCTCGTTAGGGATGCTCTAGGCTGATCCTGCATTGAGCAGGGGGTTGGACTAGATGGCCTGTAGGGCCCCTTCCGACTCTCTGTGATTCTGTGATTCTATTCTAAGGTTCTAACAAATGAAGGAAAATTGAGGCAACCCGCCGTGAGACCCACAGACCTGTTTTTCCATTGTCATTCAGATAATGCCAGGGGCCCTTTCTGCATTTCTCTCCTGAGTCGTCTTCGCTGCTTTGGGCACACCAGAAGTGGATGCTGAGACTATTGGTGGCTGTTTGTGTGTGTGTGTGTGTGAGAGAGAGAGAGAGAGATACTTGGCATACCCCATCAGCTTGCCATGCTACACTTTGGGTATGCCTTGGGGAGAGGCGCCATCTGCCTGGAGACGCTAACCAAGGTACAAAGACACACGCATGCTGCAGTCGGCCATCTTCGCCGGAGCAACAGAATGGCCTCGGGAAACCCCTCGCTCAATTATGAGCTTTTCGCAAGATCATCAAGGCCGGTTTTGCAGAGCCCCGGGGAGAATCCAGGGCCGAGATCATATACCATTCGTGCACATCGAGTGCCGGCTTTGCCATTTAAGATTCATCATCGCCCTGATCTTCTGCCAGTTTAAATTGCCACCTTGACGCTGACAGCCAGTGAAACTGATTCTGATTTACTGGGCCGGTGGGCCGGGGCTCTTTCTGCCTGGCATGAGCCTGGAGAGAAAAGAGTCTTGTGTAGGAGAGATAATAATATTTAATTACTGGAGAAATGTATTCATTAAAGCCGGAGACGCTTCTAAATAGCTAACCTCTAGGGCTGCATTAGCATGTTCTTTATGGTTCACCAGAAGCCCATGACTCAGTTACGGAGAACCTGGCGCGACGCCAGGCTAAAGGCATGATTGGAGGGGGGGAATAATTTGACATCATATTAATACAATCCTAGACCCTGGAAATACCACCCCGCTTGGCTGCTTATCTTTCGTTCTCCAGAGGGAACGTTGGGAACAAATGTTAGGACTGCACAAAACGGACCAGTAAAAAGAACATTCTGGGTTTTATGCAGTATGTGTCATGTTTTCCAGCCAGGTTGCGGCTTTTCATCTGCCGTCAGAAATCCCCTCTTGAGCCGGTGGTGTGCCTCCCCCTCTGCTCTGTTTGAAGCCTTTCTCCAGCCTCTGGGGGCATTCCGTTCCCTTAAGCGGCTCTTTCATGGAGGGGTCAGCTACAAAGGCTCCCTCTAAGCTGTGGAGCCTGGTGAGCAAACATTCTACTTTGTCAGCTACTGGCATTAAAGTTGTGTGTGAGCGACTTAGCTACTGCATCAATTAGTTTGCTCTGGAGCCCTCCTTCCTGAGCGAAGACAAAAATCTGTGAGCTGGAGGCTAAAAAAACTGTGAGCTAGCTCACACTAACTCAGCTTAGAGGGAACACTGGCAGATACACTGTGGTATCACTGTGTTCAGTCGCATTTCAGAAATGGGCATGGGCTAGGAAATTGCAGGTGTTTCTGTACTTTGAACATTCCCAGGTCCCTCAGCCTTTCCTCACAGGGCTTGGTCTCCAGGCCCCTGATCATCCTCGTCGCTCTCCGCTGCGCCTGCTCCATTCTGTCCACATCCTTTTTGAGGTGAGGCCTCCAGAACTGCACACAGTACTCCAGGTGCGGCCTGACCAATGCTGTGTACAGCAGGACTACGACAT